AAGGGGGGTCTCCCTGGATCAGCCGCTTGTTGGGTCCCTGCTGGAGGAGCAGTGGCCCGATTGTGCCATGGATCATGGTTTATGGCAACCCCGAGCTGCGAGTCTGCTCCTCAGCTCCATCTTTGCAGCCAACTTCCCCACTGCAATACGTGGGAGCTCTGCTGCACTCAGGCACCCCTAGTCTTTCTGTGACCTCGAGGGTCCTGAGACCACACTGTCCCAGCGAGGTTTCCATCCCCTGCTTAGCCACTGGAGCAACATCCCTCAGCAGAGCTGACTTCTAAAATTTCTGATTATGTGCCCTGCTGCTCTATCACTTCCCAGTAGTGGCCGATGGAGGCCCCCTCCCCCACCGTCTATCTTCCCAAATATCACCTCGATTCACTTCTCCGCATGTCCTACCTCCCTGAACGTGGTCGCTTTTCTGTTCAGAGGGTTGCTGCTATTCTTTTCTTTGATCTCCTGTTGAGTTCATAGGTGTTCAGATGGTTTGATCCCTATCTAGCTGAATTCCTGGGACCAGACGAAATTTAGGTCTCCTACTCCTCCGCCATCTTCCTTCTCCCCCCATTTTTTGTTTTAGTTTTTGTTGTGTTTGTCTTTAGTTCTTAGGTTGGCCTATTGGAGTGTCCAAATTTCTGGACAAATAAAAGTCAGCTCTTAGGTAAGTGAGCAGTTATGTCGTAAATCCTAGATACATGTCCTTTTCAAACCAATATAAAATTCTGAGTTAACAGTCAAGTTACTAGAAGAAAAATAAATAAATATTTGAAGAAATTAGTTTAATATGATTGATTTTTTTCAATGTTGAACCACTTTTCATCCATGGAATAAACCCCATTTTGTCATGGTGTATCATTCTTTTTATAGGTTACTGATTTTTATTTGTTAGCATTTTGTTAAGGACTTTTGTGTCTATGTTTATGTGGGATATTGTTGTGTAGTTTTCTTTATTTCTGCTGTCTTTGCCTGGTTTGGGTGTCAGGGAAATATGAGCATCATAAAATGAATTGGAGAGTGTCTTTTCCTCTTTTAGTTTATGGAAGAGATTGTGTAGAATTGGAGTTAATTTTTCTTTAAAGGTTTGATAGGATTCTCTAGTGAAATGATCTGATCCTTACCTCACACTATATTCATAAATTAACTCAAAATGAATCATAGACCTGATTATAAAAGTTAAAACTATATGCCTTCTAAAAGAAGGTATAGGAGAAAATCTTTGTGGCAAGCAAAAAGTCTTTAAGTAGGACTCAAAAAGCACAACTTAAACTTCCTTGTGTGTGTCTGAGAGTGACCACTAATGGTACATTGAGCCAATTCATATTGGAATATTTGATTCATAAACTGACAAATTACCTGATACACTTATATTGAAATGAATGTAATACTTTTGATGGAGGTTAGGTCTGATTTAAGAACTGATCATTGGAAAAATCTGGGAAAGAAAAATCTAAATCAACGATTACTCCAAGAAAAAATTTAATTTATATGATATTGGAAGTGTAATTTTAATACTCTACGTGGCTCAGATATGTGTCTTAGATATGAACAGTGATTGAATGGTCATAAACATGTTGACTATTCACTTAAAATTGTTGGTAGCTATGCATCTTAGGAGTGTGCAAATAGAGGAAACATAGTTTGTTGGGGCAGGTTGTAAAACAGAGTTAAATCTTATCTTCCATATAGGAAGTCAATAAATAGTGTCTAAAGTAGGAAAAAAAAAAAGCAATGTAATCATGTTATTAGAAGTAAGACATTAAGTGCCAAAGTGGGGAATGAATCTGCTAAATGAATGAAAAGTTTGGTGGGGGTTACTCTAGCAAGTGGACTGAGGATGCATTGGGTATGGGAGGGGAATGGAAGAGCAAAGAGGAATGAAACCTGTGACGTCTACTAAAAAAAAACCTCTCAGTAATATTTACCTTTAGATACAATGAACAGTTCTTACTTTGATAAAAATAAACATTACATTTAAAAAATGAGAAGAAAGTGGTGAAGGCAGGGAGGAGGAGGAGAGGGTAAAGAAGAGGAAGGACACAACAGTAAGTTGCTTCATTGTGTAGATAATGAATATAAGCTTGTAGGATAAATGAATGAAAACCAGCTGAATGGCATGCAAATGGATATTTGTTACTTGGAATAAAATTTCCAGTGACAGCATCTTACAGTTGTAAAATAATCTCACATAATTTAGGCAAAAATAAAGATGCTTGTCACATTTCTTCTGTGTCTCTGTTGATAACCTGGATATTAGGGTGTAAGATGCATTTCCAGAAACCAATAGTGATAGCTAATGCTTATTTGGCATTTACTATGTACCAAGGCAGTTGTCCTAAATATTTATTTTTTAGGGGTGAAAGTTCCACTCAACCCTAGAGGCAACAACTATTATTATCACCATTTTACAGGTGACAAAACTGGCCTGAGGTCACAACTATTAAGTAATGGAGCCAGAATTCAATACCAGGCAGTCTGACTTGGTATTCCATGAATACAAAGTAGAACAAAGCAATATTTCTAATGTAGTTTATTATTTTGCATAATGCATTATAACATGTGATTAAGTAAATTAATACATAGAATATTGAGTAAGCATTTGATTATTTCATCTCTATCATTAGAAGCTTATATATTCAAGTAAGTTAAATGCATTTTGGTCAGTGGCCAGTAGGAAATATTATTATTGGGAAAATCAGATCATTTTTATTCAACATTGCTAGATCTTATGGCATATTTGTTAATATAGGAAGCTTTCCCTGACCAACAGCCTAGGTTATATATTCCCTATTATATGCTTTCATAGCATCCCATACTTTTCCTTTGTGTCAACTTACTATAATTCAAATTTTAAAATTACATTGTAAATGTCTGTCTAAGTTTTTGAACTATAGGTTTCACAATGGCAGGTACCTTATCTTTTTCCACTATGTTGCCTAGTATCCATCACATAGATATGTCACATGGCATATATTGAAAATTTGCTAAGTAAATGAATGAAGACATATCCATTATGTTTATGCAGTGACATTTTAGCCAATTCTCTATGGGATTTAATTAATTTCTCTTTTTTTTCTTTTTGCTATTATAAACAATGCTTAAATTAATATCCTTATACATACATATTTTACATTTATTTGTTTATTTCCTTACAATCAATATCTATATGTGAAATTCTTGGGTTAAATGGTATGCACATTGCCAGAATGCCCTTTATTATAAATTTAAAATCCCACCTATAACATATGCATGTTTTAAGGCAATGTTAGCTGTTTAAACTGATAAACCCAAATTTCAGTGGCTTAACGAAAGGGAAATAATTTCTTACTCATAGCTTCATTTAGCCATGGATTTCACAGTGGGAGTCCATGCAGTCATTGAGATCCAGTTTGATGGAGTCTGCCAACTTCAATATATGGCTACTGAAGTCCTTCTGAACTTATAAATCCAGCCAACAGTTAGGGAAGGAAGAAAGTGGGTGCATGGGTTATGTGTGTTGGAAGTGGGAGTGAGGAGAACAGGGGATGCTATAGGCCTGGCTTAGAAGTCACATATGTTACTTCTGCCATATGTTGTTATCAAGAACTTAGTCAAATTACAACTGTGTACAAATGGAAATACACTACCCAGCTATTTACATTGGAGGAAAGAATCACCTGCAGTAAATAGCTAGTTGCTATTTACCAGTACATGACAGTGCCCACTCCATGCCTTGTCAAAACAGAATAGAAGCAATTACATTTATTTGAGTATAGTTGACATACAATGTTACATTAGTTTCAGGTGTACAACATAGTGATTCAGCTTCTCTGTAACATTATGCTATGCTCACCATAAGTATAGCTACCATTATTTTTAACTTCTCCCAACCTAAAAGGGTAAAAGATAACCAATCTTATTTTAACTTGTAGTTTTAAAAATCTCTAAAGAGGCTGAATATATTTTTATATGTATTTTAGCCCTTTGTATGACTTCTTTTGTAATTACCTGTTAATGTCTTTTTCTATATTTCTAATTGGACACCTTTTTTTCTTAACTGCTTAACATATGCTTCATATCTCTCTTTGGATCAAATTAGTGTGATCATAAAGCCAGTTCCTTTTAGCGCCATCATGACCTGATAGAAACTAATTTTTTCCCCAAGTCCTATAACCTTGAGAATGTTGGCTAAGGGCTTAAATTCTAGAAACAAATATAAAATAGTAGCTATTGACTAACAGTGGGTGATCCATAGACCTAACTGCAAACCTGAAACTTGAGTGCCAAGAGTGAGTCCAAAAGAACTTAGATTAATCAACAAGTTCAAAGGTAAGTAAACAAGGTCTGGAAACAAGTGAAAAGGTCAAGTCCAAGGATGGTAATGGAAAAAGAATGAATTTAGAAGAGAAATGAATGGGGTCCTAGACTATAATAACAAATGGAGCTGACTTGGCTTTGGTGTGTTTTTATTGGCAGGATAACATATTTAATTTACAAATTTAATTACACACATATTTTTAAATTATATATTGTATAAAATATTAGCATAATTTAAATATATTGCCTTTTCCGTGCTTACATTTCATAAAACAATTTTATTTTAGAACTCTTTACATGCATAGTTGACCTAAATGTCATTATAATTATTAGGGCCATTTTTATTTCTTTTTCTAATTTTTCTTCAAGCACATTATCTAATACTTCAAGAACCCTCCACCCCTACATTTTTATGTCAATTCTGGTTGAGAAGTTTTACATACTATTTCTACTACTTTAGTGGTTCCTGGTAAACAGGTATATTTAAAATTCTAAAGTTGATCTGTGTCTTTCCCACATCTGTTTATCAGTTAAGTTTATGTTTTGGGTATGTTTAAGAGAAAACCCAAAATGGTGGCAGCTTGAACATAGGAGTTTATTTATACATAAAATAATTTCAGAAATGGAAATTATAGGGCTAGCATGGCAGATTTATGGTCACTGGGTACCTAGAACATTTCTATTTTCCTCTTCTGTCTTCCTAGGGTGTGATTTCCATCTTCAAGATCATTTTATTATCTAATATGGCTGCTGGAATTTGAACTATTATGCTCCATTCCATGAATAAGAAGGAGAAGATGAAGGCAAAGGTGATTTTACACAAGGCTGAATAATATCCCCTTAAGAAATCTTCCTGAACATCTCATACACAGTATTTACTTTTAATTGACAAGATATTCATACATATACCTAGTCTCAGGAGGCAGCTGGGAATTATGAAACTTTAGTCACATTGCCAAATATCTATATAGTAACATAATATGGATATGATATAGTTTCTACAGCTACATCCTCAAATAAGAAAGTCAAGACTATCTTCTATTCAAATTCTCCCGTTCCATTTTATGTGTGATAACCAGCATCTTATTTTGCCTTGTTTTCAATTGTTTCATTTATTAGTCTCTTTTTTCTATTTTAGAGTCAGTTTGTATTGAGATTTACCAACATATTTTAGGGATTTATTTTTTTTCACCTTTGTTTCTTGCATCTCTCTTTTATCTTCTAATTAAACTTTCTTCTCACCGAACTATATCTCTTAGTAGTTCTTTAAATGAGGGTATGTAGATGGAAAACATTTTTAGACTTTATGTTTTTGAAAATATTTATTTTACTCCTATTCTTGAATAGCTGTTGAGATGGTATTATCAAATTTAATACCCTGAAACCCTAAGCTCCATTGTTACTCTTTGGAGATAGGGCATTTAAAGAGGTAATTAAGGTTAAATAAGGTCATGAGGGTGGGGCCCCAATGTAACATGACTAGTATCCTTATAAGAAGAGGAAGATATAACAAGAATATGCACACACAGAGGCAAGGCTATGAAAGGATAGAGCAGGAAGGTAGCCATGAGGGAGGAGAGAAGGTCCAGGACAGAGGGTCCAGGAGAAACCAAACCTGATGACATCTTGGACTTCCACCCTCCAGAACTGTAAGAAAATAAAGCCACTTTTTCTGTGGTATTTTGTCATGGCAGTCCTAGCAGATTAATATAGTTGGGTATAGAATTCTAGGTTTTTGTTGTCTCTCTTCAGCACTAAATCTGTTATCATCTAATATCTGCTATTGCTAATTGAATATCTTACTGATCCTCTGGGGACAATCTGCATTTTCTCTTTGGTAGATTTTATCTCCTTGATACTTTGTCGCCTTGCTCCTATGCAATATCTAATGAAGATTCATATATTTCTTTTTTTAAAAGATTTTATTTATTTGTGCATTTTAGAGAGAGAAGGAGAACGTGTGTGAACGTGTGAGCAGGGGGAGGGGCAGAAGGAGAGGGAGAGAATCTCAAGCAGACTCTGTGCTGAGCACAGAGCCCCACATTGGGCTCTATCCCATGACCCAAGATCATGACCTGAGCCAAAACCAACAGTTGGATGGGTAACCAACTAAGCTACTTAGGCATCTCAAGATTCATATATTTCTTAAATTATTAAAAACTTGCAGCCATTAACTATGCATCTATGTCTTTTCTTCATTCCCGTCATTCTCTTTTCCTTAAATTCCTAATTAGTGTATTTTGCAGCTTATCTATTTCTTCTTTCCATTTTTAAAATTATCTCCTTGATATATTCTGCACTTTTGTTTTTGATGTCTTTAGGATAATTTTATGAGCTCTGTCTTCAGGTTGACTAATACTCTCAACTGTCTAATATATAGTTTAATAAATTTTAAATTTTTTCTTTCAATTACTTTACTTTTTATTTCTAGAATTTAAGTTTTTGTTTTTGTTTTACTAATTGTGCTTTGGTTTCATTGTTTTATTCTTGTCTTAGGAATTGTGCTCATTTTTATTTAAAAATAAAATTTTAAATTTTAGAATAGTTTAGATTTGCAGAAAAATGGCAAATATAGTACAAAGAGTTCCTCTATACTCCTCAGCCAGTTTTCCCTATTGTTAACATTATTTCTTATTAATATATTTGAACATAATTAAAGTATTTACTTTATGATCCCTTTCAATTTATATTGTTACTTCCAGATGCTTGAGTTAGAATTCTTCCCTCTTATTGGATCTGCTGATTCTTATGGTAGCATAATTCCTCATGTCGTTTTAATTTTATAAACCATAAACTATTTTTTCAGTAAGAATTTTGCTTGATTTTTCAAATTGTGCTCTGGACTGTGGAAATACAACTATAGGGTAGATTTCTACTCGCTTTTACCTGTGGTCTCATAGGTTTTCCAGGTTTTACACTTTTCCCCATTATTTCTCAAATGGAATTTGCTTAGTATGAACTGTGCAAATTCAGACTTTTTCACTTACACACTGCATGAGCTTGAAAGGTAGTTGAAGGTGGTTAGGCCACCTCTGTCTGCTCAGTTAATCACATTAACTGGATTTTGAATCTACTTGTAAGTTTAGAGAGAACTCTCTCATTTACATAGAAGTATAACTTGGAAAACATGATGAGAGAGAAAACCAGAGTACTTTTTAACCAGTGTATTGGACATATAAATGAAGACAAATGAAGTGTGGTTCAAGATAGCAAATTCAGGACATGGAAATAGTAGAGTGAGTGATTAGCATGTGATTAAAAAGATCCTGAAAGTTTAGTGACTAATTTAGCCACTATGAATAGGATGGATATTGATAGATGGTTAATTCACAAGAACAATAACTGAGTTTGGATTTTTCACTGCTTTATCCTCAGAACCTAGTACATTGCTCAGTGGGTGCTCAATTAACATATTTGACATTTCTAAGCAATTGCCTTAATTCATTCTTCATCCTCATCTCATTCATCACTTGGCTATCCCATCTACTAAATTTGTCCTTCATTTTATCATTTCCATACTTACTTCATTCTATAGACCAGTTCTAAGCTGTTGTCTTCCTGGCTGTAGCTTTATCTCCTCTCTAAAAATAATTCTTGACTTTTCCACAAGCAGTGATGCTACATACAGCTATATCTAATAGTTGCAGGTCTGGTGATGGGTATTAAGGAGGGCACATATCGCATGGAGCACTGGGTGTTACACGCAAACAATGAATCATGGAACACTGCCTCAAAAACTAATGATGTACTGTATGGTGACTAACATAACATAATAAAAAAAAGGAAAAAAAATAATAGTTGCAGGTCTTCAGTATGGCTTCAGGAATCCTTTTTTCTGGGATTGCCCCTTTAAACAATCATCTTACCATTCGCATTGTATCTATGATTGAGACTCAAACCTACAGAAATCAGGAGGTCCTTCTTTCATATTCACATTGAATGAGACCCAGAACATAAAAACAATGTTCTAATTTCACTGATGTGGGAACATTGAAGCTTTTTGGAGGTTTTGACTAGTTATACATATGAAAAGCGTATTAGATTTGTTAACACCTAGGGTTTAGTTGAAGAAAACAAAGACCACTCTATTTCAAATAGAAAGAGATTCAATACGCAAAAGTAGGGGTTTATAACACCATTGAGGAGGTAGACCTTTAGAAATGACTTCCCCAAACCACTATAAAATTGGCCTTTCATGAGAACTGCTACCTCTGCTATTGTCAAGAAGCTGGACCAACTTCAGTTTCCAGGATCTCATTACCTTCATTATAGCATCTGCCATGACTCTAAAATCTATCACCTTAGCTGCAACCTGGAGATGAGGAAGCTGCTGCCAGAACTGTTGGCTCCTAGGTTAAAGTAGGAGCTCCTAGGCTTTTAGGTCAAACTGTGCCTATTGGTCCCACACTTTGGAGTCACACAGACCTGGGTTTGAATGCTGGTTCTCATATATTAGCTATGCAAACATGGGAGTATTTCATATCTCTGGGTCTCAGTTTTTTCATCTGTAAACTGAAGATGGAAATAATTGATAAATTTGTTGTGAAAATGGATGAGCTCTTGAGAACAGTGTCTGGTATAAAGTTGGTGCACCAAAAATATTAGTTACCTTCCTACATTTGGCTATGCCCTAAGCTTGCTTTCTGAGTAAGTCAGTCTACATGTGCTTATATTAATGTCCTCATCCAGAAAATACAATTGATAATACTTTCCTTGTTCATCCCACAGGTTTGTTGTGAAAATCTAGTGACCTAATGTATATAAAAAATACAAAGAGCTGTGAACTGTTAGGTAATATTATTTCTTTTATAGGTTGATTGGGCTGCTGTAATTTTATAGGACTAACCAGGTCATATACATTCCCTGTATATTTGCTTTTCTTTCACTGAAAGTATATCAAGTCACTAAATTGTTAATGAATATATATAGGTTTGCATCTAGAAAGACAGATGATAAAATAGTAAGAAAATGATACCTATGAGGAAGGAGTAAAGGAACAGAGATTATTTGCCCTGTAAGGATGATTTATAATGCACCTTCGAACATAGAGACAGGCCTTGATTTAAGAAAACCCAGTATCTGAATACTAATATTTACAAAACCCAAGACAAGGGATAATCAATCATTCCACAAGAGGATTCCTCACCTTCCAAACAGATTCTCTCTCACACAAGGGATATCCCAAATAGAAATCAATTCATTTTATAAAATTTAATTCACCCAGAATGTTTCAGAAAAAGGAGGTCCATCTGTCTAAATGCCTCTTACACTAAGGATGGTTGCCATCTGTTTTCTAATCCCCACAGGGTAGCAAATAAGAGCTTGAATTCTAAAATGTTAGATTTAAGTTGATCTGAGGAAGAATTTCATATCTATGTAGGCTTGTTATTTGTAAGCACAAGTAAAGGCAAATTATGGACTTTTGCACGTATCTTCAAATCAGGATGACCTTCTCTGCTTAAGGAAACTGGCCTAAGAGTGGGTCTCTGTAAAAATTGAGGAGGACAAGATGGCCTTTAAAGCCCCCGCAGGCCATTAGAGGCCATGGCTTCTTGGAGTGCAGACAGTATTCAGTGCTCTTTGTGAAAAGCAGTAAGAAAATCTTGCCATATGGAAAAGATTCACAATTTGAGATTGTGTGTAGAAGACAGTGTAAATACAGAGGCAGCTGAGAGGCTGGAAGATATCTCTTTAGCAATATGCTTTCTGAAACCCAGGACACCTGTTTTGCTGAATTGGGTAGGAAACCTGGAGAGACTATACTTTCCTGTAAAGATTTTCTTGGAGATTTCCATGACTTTCT